CAGAAGTTAGCGTTCTCCCAGCAAATCCTAACGACCGACTACACGAATCGACCCTAAACTTACAGGCGGCAAACGGAAAACCGATCGCTACGTATGGCAAAAGGTACGTTTACCTTAACGTGGGTTTACGCAAACCCATCCACTGGATTTTCGTTGTTGCAGATGTTTCTATGCCAATCATTGGTATGGACCTTCTACAACACCACAATCTGATCATCGACACTCGCAAACGGAGGCTAGTAGACGGAAACACTAATTTGTCCGTTTGCGTAACTTCCTTTTCTGGTTGTAGAGTATCCCCAGTCACAGTTAAACATATGATAGACCCACTCTATCAACCACTACTCGATAAGTACCCTGGGATACAACAAACTCAACCGAAACTACCGTGTGTAACCAGCAACGTTACACGTCACATCACGACTACAGGACCACCTGTATTCTCTAAAGCACGACGACTAGCTCCTGAAAAGCTAAGGTTAGCGAAAAACGAATTCGATCACATGATGGACTTAGGAATCATACGACCGTCAAGTAGCCCATATGCATCTCCGTTGCACATGGTCCCTAAAAAGGACAGCAACGATTGGCGTCCAACTGGTGACTATCGGCAATTGAATGCGAAAACCATTCGCGATCGTTACCCGTTGCCTCACATTCACGATTTGACAGCTACCTTAAAAGGTACAACTGTCTTTTCGAAAATCGACTTGGTTAAAGCGTATAACCAAATTCCTATGGCTACTGACGACATACCGAAAACAGCTATCATAACTCCTTTCGGACTCTATGAATTTTTGCGAATGCCTTTCGGTCTAAGGAATGCTGCTCAAACATTCCAAAGATTCATAGACGACGTTTTTCGAGGTCTCAACTTCGTACACGCGTATGTTGACGACTGTTTAATCGCAAGTCCGGACAGAGAAACACATCTCAAGCATCTGGATCTTGTTTTCGAACGACTTCAAAAACACGGCATAACTGTAAACGTTCAGAAATGCCAATTCGGAACCGACTCGTTAGACTTCCTAGGACACACTATCGATGCTCAATGCATTCGACCTCTTAGGACCAAAGTGGCGGCCATTCTGGATTACCCAGAACCGACCACTGTCAAGCAATTACGCACGTTTAACGGCCTGGTAAGTTTCTATAGACGTTTCATACCGAAATGCGCATTACTTATGAAACCTCTGACCGACCAACTTCGTGGAAATGCGAAATCCATTAATTTGGACGACACCGCACGAAAAGCATTCTCCACAGTTAAGGAACTGATTGCTAAAGCAACAATGCTCGCACATCAGGACACCCGAGCACCCATTAGCATCGCAGTAGACGCATCCGACTCGGCAATCGGAGGAGTCTTACAACAATGGGTTAACAACTCCTGACAACCCTTGGCATTTTTCTCCAGAAGGTTGCTAGACACCGAATCGAGGTACAGCACATTCGGTAGGGAACTCCTAGCTATGTATTGTGCTGTACGGCATTTCCAACACTACATCGAAGGTCGTGAATTCACTCTTTTCACGGACCATAAACCGCTCACTTTCTCGTTAAGCTCGCCTTCAGACAAGTACTCTCCCCGTGAGTCTCGACAACTGGACTACATTTCGCAGTTTACTTCAGATATTGAACACATCTCTGGAGCAAACAATGTAGTTGCAGACGCCTTATTTCGCATAACTTCCTTGAACAGTTTCCAAGGAATCGACCTTCTTAAACTCGCCGAGCTTCAAAAAGAAGACAGTGATCTTCAGCACGAGTTATCGTCCACAACACTTAAACTACGCATCAAACAGATGGGAACAGGTAAGGAAACCTTACTTTGTGACACATCTACAGGTAGGGATCGCCCAATCGTGCCGAAACATTATCGACGCAATGTCTTCAATACATTGCACAAACTTTCTCATCCAGGTGTTCGTGCAACCATCAAGCTTATAGCAGAAAGGTTTTGCTGGCCTGGAATGAATAAAGACGTGAGGGAGTGGGCACGCTCCTGTGTAAGCTGCCAAAAATCTAAGGTTATCAGACACAATAAATCCCCCTTAGGCTCGTTTAAAACTCCCGATGCTCGTTTCGACCATGTTCATCTGGATTTGGTAGGATCTTTACCAGATTCAAATGGATACTCTTATCTCTTAACCTGCGTAGACCGTTTCACTCGATGGCCAGAAGCAGTACCTATCAAGGACATCACTGCTGAAACAGTGGCCCGCACCTTCGTCGAACGATGGGTAGCAAACTTCGGTTGCCCTTCAACCATCACTACAGACCGCGGACGTCAGTTTGAATCTGATCTTTTTCGTCGTCTCACCACACTATTAGGAATCACTCGATTCCGAACGACCGCCTACCGTCCACAAGCAAACGAGTTGGTAGAACGTTTTCACCGACAACTGAAAGCTTCGCTATCAGCTACAAACGTTTCACAGTGGACCGACGCTCTTCCACTCGTCTTACTAGGTATCCGCAATGCAGTGAAAGCTGACATTGGATACACTGCGGCTCAACTGGTTTATGGAACGACACTTCGACTTCCAGGAGAATTCGTGGATCCTTCGTCCTCTTCAATGAACATGGATCTAACCTCCTACACGAACAGGCTTACAAACGCAATGCGTTCAGTTAAACCTGCTTCCACTCGACCTCAATCAACTGATGTTTTCGTTCAACCTGACCTACGATATAGTACACATTTCTTCGTACGTCGAGACTCGCATCGACGACTATTCGAATCAGCATACGAAGGACCTTTCAAAGTTCTTCAACGTGAATCTAAGTACTATATAGTCGATAAGAACGGAACCAACGATAGCATCAGCATCAATCGCTTAAAAGCAGCGTATTTAGGAGGAAATCCTATCTACGTGGATTTTCCTTCGGTACAATCGAACGACACGACTCCGACACTTATAATACCTCATCCGACAACCAACACACACGATGATACTTCGACAGTATCCGAAAATAAACTTAAAACGACGCGTTCTGGAAGAAGGGTGAGATTTCCAGAACATCTAAACGACTATTGCACGTAAGGCACTTCTCGACATTTTATATTATTTTTTAAAAAAAAAACAATTTTAATATGCTTATATATTTTTATTTCTATTAAAAAAAAACAAAACAAAAAAACAATTTTTTTAACGCTATTACGTGTTCATGAGTTTATTTTCCATTTTTTTTCCGCCGACATTGTGTTTTTACGCACATACGAGTGTATTTCGACATGCACTTACATTTTCTTTTTTCTTTTCCAGGACGGCTGGAAAAGAACGATGACGTTTATGAGGATCCGAAATTTTCATTGTACATTTTCTTTTTTACTATGTTGTACCTCCGTCCCATGTAGTAAGGAAAGACGACCAGACGCTGCTAATCCTAGCAAGCTATCAGAAGAGTGTTTACCAACGACAAACTCGCTGGGTTTAAACTTCTGGCTGGCCACGTCTCAGGGTCATCACTAACCCACTAGGGGGGGAGTGATCTGTAGCGGTAAATAAATCCCCAAAATAAATAGCACTAAGTTTTCGACATTGGATGCTGACCATATGTTTTAGTGGACTCATCTAGCTGAAGGCGCTCGGTCAGGCATCCGCACCAGATCACGTGTGGTAACGCCGTGCTCAACATCAACCGCAATCGCTAGCCAGATTAGATCAGAGAATTCCGATATATTGGTCATCGCCAAATATACTCTTCCGATCTCTTCGACTCTGTCTTTTGATTTCTCTGGGCGGGAACGAAATATATTAGAAGGTGTTACTGGTAGAAGCGTTGTCAAACACTGAATACCTGTGACATCAACAGTATCTTTCCAGATTGACGTTTTTGGATAAATACATTGGATCGTGTTGAAATCTGCTTAAATATAAACGATGCAGGCTGGGGTCAGGAGAATTATGCTGATCTTGTTCTATCAATCGTCCTCATACCTATCGATAGCCTCAGGTGCAAACTTGACAGTTTGGTAGCAATATCATTAGATTCTACGGCGTCAGTAATTCAAAATGTATGGACTCCAAAGGTAGCGGACAGTAAATGGTCTGAGGTTCTGGAGAATCAGACTTTATTTATCCATTCTACACAAACTACAAAGACTCATATCGTTGCTCAAGTAAAGAAACACCGAAAACCCTAATGAACTAGTCTTCTTAACTATCACATAGTAGGACACCTCAATTCTTTTCAGTGTTGGGAAATGTGACATCATAATAATTAGGTACGAATGACTTTTATTACGTCTTTATGAAACAGCTGTCTGTGACACAATTTGTTGGTTTAGTCTGATCTGGCAATCGATAATAATTAACCTCGTTGTATTGCATTCACAACTTGAATGTGGATTCCCTTGCCGTGAAATCTGATCACACGACTGATATTCTCTGTTAAGTAATACAACCTTATTTGACTGCTTAACAAGAAGATTATGAACTGACTAGACAAAGGGATTTTCAGTGATATAACCACCACATCTGTGTTGCTAACTACTGTTCACATCCACTCAAAATATTTGGGTCACTATCAACTATGAAGACCATCAAAACTATTGTTCCAGCAACTTCGGATAGACAAAAGTTCTTCACCAATAAACGTTACATTCTCATATTCACCAACCGCAAGCTTAATGCGTGAAGAATCTCAAAAAAGTTATTTATCCCGGATAAAATTCGCGTTACTTTTCAACTGAAAATTTCGGTGTGGAAAGTTGACTATTCGGTATAACCTGTTGCTTTCTTGATTACACTGTAATTCAATCTACATGTTTTCAAGTTGTATTCGTACAACTTAAATTAAATCCCGGATGATTTGTCTTGGGTTCAGTGACATTTCATCGGCATTACAAGTTGAACGTACGTTGAGAAAAATGATCTACATTTACGTGCAAATCAATTTATATTGTTAACTTTTCAATTTAATGGGACAGGTTGAAGCTGAAGCTACGGAAATCAGAGCTAAGTTATTGGATATTGAGTGTGCTTTGTTCGCTTAGAAAATCAAGGTAGAGCTGTAATTAGAAAGCCCCTCACTGTTCGAATGAGAAAACAATGCTAACTTTATTTAATTGGATTATTGTTTTAATAGTCATTCTTATTTATGGTTTGGGCGAATACATATCACTAGTAAATGGGTTTAATATCGATTTAAAATCTCCACTCCTCAAAACTGGGCCAGATGGTTCTAGTTTTGGTTTTTCCTTATTAGGATATACTCACTTTTCAGGACAGAAAGGGTATATCACTTCATTATTTTCATATTTTTATGTTTATATAGGGTGGTCATAGGATCTCCAACAGAGGGAAACAACGGTGGACTGTTTTGGTGTCCACTTTTGAGGAGCACGTGTAGTCGAATCGATATTGATCTAGAAAAAGAGACTCATATGCAACCTGGACTAAATGGAGCACTTTTAGGATATTCAATGTCTTCAGCTTTTAACAACAGCCGGGGACCGATTACTGTAAGTTAGCTGAAAGATTCTCCTTATTTTATTCATCCCTTTTTCCTAACACCATCAAACAGTTCAAAAGTAATCCAAGTCGTTTGAAACGTGAAATATAACAAGATTTATTTACGATCTATTTAAAAGCCGTAAACGTCCGGTCATATTTTTATCGTAAGGTCATTAATCGTCAGAACTCCCAGTTTTTATACTCGTTTCATGTTTGCCATACGTGGAAAAGAGATATCTCATTATCTCATAAACAACTCAGACTTCCTTGTTATTTCACACCTGGACTGGTTATATCTGATAAGCACACGTTCGGTAACATCGTGTTAAAAATCTTTTGCCGATGTTTCACACCCTAAATTGGGTTAACTTCATAAATCACAAGGACTTTGTTAATCTTTGCCATCACGAAGTGATGGGATCTCTAAAATTCATTAATCTGTTGGCCAAAATGCGCCTATTTAATGAATTACAGGTTTACAGTCACCTAAGTAAAGAATTGTGGTCTGAACAAAAGTTAAAATCGTTGCGTATATTAGTGATTTGGAATATTGTAAAGTACTATTCTTCATAATTAACATGGTGGTAAAAAGGTTGTTTCAAATGACCATATGAAAAAATTTCTTCGTAAATATGCCAGATAAAAATGTAAAGATTAGAGTTTCTGTCAAGATTTTTTTATTTCTAAGAACTCTTTACACATAGAAACACAAATTTGTAGACCAATTCTAGGTTTAAATATTCCTACAAGCTCTCGAATATGATTTTCTTTATCAGTCCATACCTTTATATGTGTTATACTTACATAAAATGTTTAAGAAAAACCTAACGGGTCGATTAAAAGCGAACCGTGTTTTTAACAAGATATTAAAAGTTCACCTTGTAGGTTTTTTAATTTCAACGACCGTTTTGCTATTGAAAACTGCTTATTAGACTTTGTAGTCCAACAATGACTACACTTACCGTGATAGATAATTGTTTTCAACCATTTATTGCCAGTAGTTGGTAACTGATGTACTGTTTAATAGCTCTACACTGTCAAAAAATACGTTTGATATCTTGAGTTCTTCCGTTAGAATACATTCAAAAGCTATGTGCATAATAGACACCAGAGTAATTTGTAAATAAAATACAAATAAACTGGGATTTTTTGTCAATGTTTTGTGTTGCTAATGCGGTTAGACAGAAGAATCTAGCTGCCACTGATGATGATTAAAAATATTCACATATATTAACAGAATTGTTAAATCGTGCTTAATATAGACACAAAATATGATTTTTACTAAAATTTCAGAAAAATAAGGTGTATAACATCTTAATTCATTCAGTCAGGTTAGAATCTCACTCTCGCTTCATACGAGATACGTTTAAATTGCGCATTGAACAAATACAGACCACCTAGATTATTGTAACGTAACTACCCAGTTGTCAATATTATTACCCGCGCTACTATTTTTTGTGAAGATATTAAATTATGTCATGTAAAACATATTTACTAGTATTGGTTGAAGAAGTGTTACACCTGAATACATTTTTTAATAAAATGCTGCACTGTACAAAGCGAGTGATGAAATAAGTTATAATTGGGTTTTTTTTAATACAACAAAAACTCATTGGTTAGTTTATTTAATTCAAGTTTAGTCACATTCATTAGGAATCTCCATTATGAAACTAATCAGTGATTGTTCCTAAATGAATTCATGAGAATGTTTTTGGTTTGGGTTCAAGCAGAGGTTATGGCACAAAAGATCAAACACATCCATTTGGCCAGCTACCATGTGATGTCCGAATTGTTTGGTACACACCAACAGTGGTTTAGTAGACCTAAATAGATGCTGTATTTTGTGTACGTATACGCATTTTTTGGTAGAAAAATGGCATAGTTGCAAATCTATCTTATCTACATTTGTACAGCGTTAGCGGTTGTCATCCCACACATTACTGACAACATCCTTTTTGTGTGAGTAAAATCCGAATAAGCCCGACAAATAGGTTTAATTTACGTATCTTGTCGATTCCTCCTAACTTAAAAGGGCGAACAATATTGGACACGCAATCAATCATACAATGTCATTTTTACTCCCTTATGACATTATAGAGTTATCCTCATCAATCCAAGACGTTCCAAAAATTTCTAAGTAGTTTTATTTTGGAAACACTATGTGAAAATACAATGGTCAGGAGCACTTTTTATAGTCATTATCTTAAAATCTATTGGCTCATCACAAAATAACTTGAACAATTTCATTAAGAGAATGTTTAAGCCACTGATTTAGTAATAACTCCAGTAAAATATATATGCGCATCTACTAGTCTTAGTTTTTTGCCCACAGAATAAGATCTCAATTATGATTTAAATGTTAAATAAGGTTACTTTTACTAATACAATTTTGGAAAGACGAATAATTACTTTAATGGCCATTTCAATTGAATTACAGAATAATGTTTAAAAATTTTGTTGACAAATAAGATTTTTTATATGAAACTTGACAAGCATAGGGAACTGCACTGAAAAGTGTGCTTCTCTGTGTGTGATAGAGAGAATGTGATAATGTAACAATCCGGACCATACGAAACGGTTTTATGGTGAGTAAATGGGAGTATAAAAAATGCAAAGTTAGAAGACATTCCGAAATAATTTACATTCTAAGCTGATTGGACCGAATTGATGAATAACTATTTTTTAAACGTTTCAGGCTAACCTTAAACAAATTTATTCGAAGGCTTGTATTTGAAACACAAAGTACTATGTTTGAATCCTACTGTAAATACTAAAACTAAAATGCAGGGATATTCTGCTGATGAGTCACAAGTAGGTCAAAATATGCGTCCCAAACTTTTATGCTAGTCACAATCTAAATGATTCTATACAAGTGTTCATTAGTTGCTGATTTTTCTTTGATTATATCAGCCAGTAATAGCTTGTCTGTAGTCTGATGATCTTCAGCACTGATCTCACAATCTACATAGCTCACCATGTTAGAAGCAATTGTTCATAAATTGTAGAGCCACCGAGTAGAGTTAGTAAAATTTCAGAAAAGTATAAACCGGAGTCAATTACTGACCTACGTATATAAAATTTACTCGGATACCATAGTTGCAAATTCACTCTTCAACACCTGGGTCCGATGCTGAATGAAGTAGGAAGAGACTGGGAAAAATTCAACTACCACAGATGTTGGCTAAGACCGTTTCCTCTAGTTGGAACCAAATAGAATCATAATACATTTATATCAGTTTTCTGAATCCTTTTATTGGTGTATAGGACTGTAACTGATCAATTTCTTTCGGCAGATATGCATCCTGTATGAGTTTGCTGTAATATTATCATGAGGTGATGAGCATTTTAAACACAGACGAATAGGAGCTGGCACATAAACCAAAAGTAACCCATTAATTGCATACCTAAACATCCGTGGGAAAATTAAAACAACAATTGTATATGAATTGAAATTAAAATTCACCTCAATGCACAAAATGGTGGCTGCCTGGGCATAGTGGCTAAATGGATAGCACAATGACTTTTGAAGCAAAAGTTACTGGGTTCTAATTCAAAAATGGACATTAATTCTGGGATGCAGGTACACTCAGCTGATGAATCAGAAATGCAACAAAAAGCGCATCCCGGATTTTACTACTAGTCACCATCCATCTCGGCTTAAGAAATAGAACCATGTTGGATGAAATGAAACCAGAAGAAATACTATGACTTATCATTAATAAAATATTATGGTCCAGTTACTTATTTCCCTATTAGAGCTTTCAATGTGTGTTATACATCAAAAATAACAAATCAGTCCCTTAAATAATCCGTTTGATCAATAAAGTTTCATTTATCTTAGTATTCTCTCTATCTTAATCCCAACTGATAACAATTTATAGTCTAATCAATTGTGTCATGCGCCTGTATTCAGTCACTTGGTTATAGCAGCTATTAGTTACTACCAATACTAATGATTCTAAAGTTTTGCATTTTTATTTAAAACAATGTTATTTTCTTTTTATCTACTCAAGTCTAAGTAACACACAATCAGATGGATTTGATTTGTATGAGTAAAAAAAAAGTGTTGGGCTGCCCGAAGAATATACTTGTATCTATATACATAAGCCAGTATGTACATATACACAGAACATAATATAAATCTGCTCATCTAATGAACATTTACCTGTTATTGAACAATTGAGCAGATATTTATACACATATATATATACACGTTGAATACATTTTTTTGCTTATTTATATGTATATTTAAAGAATGAGTAATTGTTAATACATTGAAATATATGAGAGATTAATGTAGCAGCATTTATTTATACTTTTGTTTAGTATTCTTAACCATTTAAATTAAAAGAAAAATGTAAGAACAAATAATAATAATAATAACAATAATAGCCTTGAAGAATAAGTTATGAGTCACTCATTATTGACTTTAAGTATTTGATTTGTTCTGTTGTTTGTTTGTTTGTTTTTTTAAACTTAAATCATTGTCCTGCCAACTAAGTTTATCCATTTCTGTAGAAACTGCTACATATTCCAGTTCGATCCGAACAAGCTATATATATATATATTCACATGGAAACAAATGTGTTATTATGTTTTTATAGGTACACAACAAGTATTTTATGTTTAATTCACATTTCTAAATGATGTATTCTATTGATACCATTTAGGAATCTGTTGAAATCATGAATTGTTTTTTTTACAATGTCTATTTCAATGATAAAATGAGATAATTAAACAATTAAAAATGGTGTAGAAATTATCTGTTCTACTGATTGAACTTTATCCTTGGTTTCTAAAAAAAATTACAAATTCTCAATTTCGATTTTGATTTTTTTTTTGGACATTTGTTTAGATCTTTATACAGATCAAAACCTGATTTCATATGTTGAAACATTTTAAAAAAATTGTAAACAGTGTAATTTTTATCGAATGGAGCCAAATTAGTAATATTGCTATAAGATAAGTTTTTAGATTTTCATTACAATTTCAGTACAGTTGAGATGTA